TTGTTGTAAAGGGAAGTTCTTTCAACTTAAGTAGTTATTATCCCTTCGAAATCACTTCCTGTACTAATGTGCTCTTGTGCTGTATAATTGAAGAATAACTGCCTTGTAGGGTTCAGATTGGCAATCCCTAGTTACTAGGCCACATGATACAGTTTAAGTAGTGACTGTTACCACAGATTAAGTTCTCCTTTTTTCTTCTGCTTAACTTAAAGCAGCATGCCAGTGATTTTTCTCACTTAATTAGGAAGAGGCCTTATCCTCTTGATTTTGGGGAAAATTATTGCTAAAATTGCTGATTTGGGAAGTGAAAAAGTTTGTTTAAGTTCAGATTTTTGGGAAAACTGCATGATTTTAAAGAAAATTTTAATTGGCAAGGCCATCCTTAAAAAAATGTTTGTTTGCAGTAACGCGACCGACTCACAAAATTTGCCCCTACTCAAATTTTTTTTCATGGTCTGGTTAAAAAAAAATATTTTTTTTTAATCAGAAAATTATGCTTTGTGCTTTGTTTTCGTTCTTTTAAAGGTTAATAGAAGAAATAAAATGTAGTTCTTATTAAATTAGAATTCAGTTATCAATTTATTAATTGTGACCAGATTATCAAAGCATATATTGTCCAGCATTCTGAAATTCTATGTTTATTTGGGAGTACAGTTCATAAAATTTTTTTTTAAAAATCGACCTACCTACCCACCTTGAAAATTCTGGGTCGGGTGACTGCAAACAAACATTTTTTTAAGGATGGCCCAAGAGGCCTTTTCGGACTGTTATATAAGTAGGAAAATGACTGCATGCCTGCCCTCCAGATTCATGCTAATTTTCATGAAAACTTTGAAAATGTATTTAAAATATTATGAAATGAAGAAAGAAAGTAATGAAATCATTGCAAACAGCACTTACGATCGGAAAAAATTAATAAAATGAGGTCAGAATATGGCAAATAGCCCTTACTATGTTAGTAACACAGTCAAATATGATAATGGTTATTAATTCTGCCAACAGGGTACTTTTTGTCAAAATTGTGAAGGAGCCTTAGCCTGTTCATTTTGTGAAAAAAAGTGTGCTATGTCATAAAATTGTGAAGAAAAATAAAGGACATAATTATTACTTGGCATTTCGCGACATTTTGAAACAGGAATAGGTTGATTATTATTTCTGACCTGTGTAAAATCTGCTTAAAGTCGGTACATTAACCCGGTTAACCTGCGCAAAAACCATTTATCTTGATTGAAACTATTTCTGTGTTATTGCAATTGGCGCAAATCAAGTTTTACCGGAAGGTAAACAATGTATTTCGATGACAAAGTCCTAACATTTCGCAAAATCTCTCTTGAAATTGTGATATTTTTTCTGTCACTTTGTGGGGAAAAAAAGTGCAATTTTGAATTTTTAAGGGGCCTTATATCGGCCCCTGTTATAGAAGGAAAAAATGCCCTGGCCAAATCAGTCATCGCACATAACGTAAATCATTACTTGAACCTTTATTTTTATGCCCCCACAATGTGGGAGCATATAGCGTTGCACTTGTCCGTCCGTCAGTCCGTCCCGAAATCTTGTGAATGCAACTCCTCTTAAACCAGATGGCAGATTTTGTTTAAACTTACAGGGATGAACAACCTTAATGTGTAGATGGTAGTAAAGGAAGGAATTTTTGCTGCGACCAAATTTAAGAGAATTATGGCACTTTGTTGATTTTTTCACTATTTTATACTATATAGAAATTTTGTGAACGCAACTCCTCTTAAACCAAATGGCAGATTTTGCTTAAACTTCCTGGGATAAACAACCTTAATGTGTAGATGGTAGTAAAGGAAGAAATTTTTGCTGTGATCAAATTTAACAGAATTATGGCCCTTTGTTGATTTTTTCACTATATACCATATAGAAATTTTGTGAACGCAACTCCTCTTAAACCAAATGGCAGATTTTGATGAAACTTCCAGGGATGAACAACCTTAATGTGTAGATGGCAGCAAAGGAAGGAATTTTTGCTGCGACCAAATTTAAGAGAATTATGGCCCTTTGTTGATTTTTTCACTATATACCATATACATGTTGTCAGTGGGGGCATCCGTGTCCTTTGGACACAGTTCTAGTTAATGTAAAGATGATACAAGTTAATAGAAAATTTTATATTTATAATAGATTAAAAAAGTGTACTTGTTGAACTATTTTACAGGACTATGGCAATCCATCTTCCCTTATTCTTTTACTTAAATTTTTCTTGAAATTGATAATTGAAAAATACAGATGTTAAATACAAAGTTAATCATCACCCTGGTAAAAATAATTGAAAGTATTTAAATTATTTTCTCCCCTTCCTAATGTTTATTATACCCCCACCACAAAATGTGGGGGGGGCTATAATGGATTCGCTTTGTCGCGTCGGTCGGTCGGTCGGTCGGTCGGTCGGTCAGTCGGTCGGTCGGTCGGTCCGTCCGTCTCCATTTTCGTGTCCGCTCTATAACTCCTATACCACTTGAAGGATTTTCTTCAAACTTGGCTCAAATGTTCACCTCAGCAAAGGGATGTGCAGAACCCATGTTGCCCATGTGTAAGCTCAAGGTCAAGGTCACAATTGAAGGTCAAATATCAAACACAATCATATATTAGACAGTATGTCGTGTCCGCTCTGTAGGTCCTACAATAATTGAAAGATTTTCTTCAAACTTGGCTAAAATGTTCACCTCAGCAAGGGGATGTGCAGAACCCATGTTGCCCATGTGTCAGCTCAAGGTCAAGGTCACAATTGAAGGTCAAATATCAAACACAATCATATATTAGACAGTATGTCGTGTCCGCTCTGTAGGTCCTACAATAATTGAAAGATTTTCTTCAAACTTGGCTAAAATGTTCACCTCAACAAGGGGATGTGCAGAACCCATGTTGCCCATGTGTCATTTTAAGGTCAAGGCCACGATTGAAGGTCAAATATCAAATAATCAAATATTACACAATATGTCATGTCCGCTCTGTAAGTCCTACACTAATTGAAAGATTTTCTTCAAACTTGGCTCAAATGTTCATTTCAACAATGGGATGTGCAGAACCCATGTTGCTCATGTGTCAGCTCAAGGTCAAGGTCACAGTTGAAGGTCAAATATCAAACAATTAAATATTACACAGTATGTCGTGTCCGCTCTGTAAGTCCTACACTTATGGAAAGATTTTCTTCAAACTTGGCTCAAATGTTCACCTCAACAAGGTTATGTGCAGAACCCATGTCACTCTTTTGCCGGCTTCAGGTCAAGGTCACACTTGAAGGTCAAAAATTGACTTAGAAAATGTTCTTTAATTTTAACATATATCTGAATATTTCTGAATCTAGGAAAGGTATTTGCTTGAAACTTAAAATATAAATGAAGTGTCACAATTAAGATATGCTGGTCAAGTTTCATAACTCTGTATTGCATTTTAACAAAGTTATGCCCCTTTTTAATCTTCAAATTTACATACAATCACATATTAGACAATATGTTGTGTCAGCTCTATAAATCCTATACTAATGGAAGAATTTTCTTCAAACTTTTCTCAAATGTTCACCTAAACAAGGTTATGTGCAGAATCTATGTCACCTTTGTGCAGACTAAAGTCAAGGTCAGACTTGAAGGTCAAAAATTGACTTAGAAAATGTTCTTAGATTAAAACATGTTCTTGAATATTTCGGAAACTAGCATAGGTATTTGCTTGAAACTTAAAAGATATATGAGGTGTCACAATTACAATATGCAGGTCAAGTTTCATAACTCTGTATTGGATTTTGACAAAGTTATGCCCCTTTTTAAGTCTTTAAATTTACATACAATCAATACTAGACAATATGTTGTGTCCGCTCTATAAATTCTATACTAATGGAAGGATTTTCTTCAAACTTTACTCAAATGTTCACTCCAATTGGGCGATGTGCAGAACCCATCTTACCCTTGTGCCAGCTGAAGGTCAAGGCCACACTTGAAGGTCAAAAATTGACTTATAAAAAGTTTAGTATATTGGGAAAATGAAAGGTTATTTGTAACTGTTTCGAACATGATTTGATAATAGATATTTTTACTATTACCTGTACAATTAGTCTTTTTTTCACCAGAGATAATTTCTTTTTATGTATTTGTGTCACTTAAGTTATTCCCTTAACCACCTTTCCAAGTTGTCTTCTGTCAAGGACATTGGTGGGGGTATGAATCGCATTCAGCGATAGTTCTAGTTTAAAATACTGGCTAACTGTTTCTATTATTTTTCCCTCTCTGTAGTCACTCGGTACTGTCTATAATCAATATTCCCATCAACAATAACAACAACAACAACATGTGATGCTAGAAAGACAGCTATAATATATTTCCAAAACAATATGGCCGAATCTTTATAGATATACTACAAGACAAGATAGTGAGTGGTCATTGTGACACTGGACTAACTGTACAAACTGTGCCTAATTTTCTACAGAGGGAACTTTTTGTGCATACTATTATAGTAAATATTGACAAAAGACATGTTTTTTGGTTGGTTTAAATTTGATAGGATCTATGATATTAATTGGACATGATTTATTATTAATATATATGTATATCACTTATTTATGTGTTGACGGGTTTTATCGTGTGTGTGACATTTAGATAAAGGTTTAATGAAGACTGTGTCCAATTCATACTGTATTGATATCCAATATTGGTTATTGGGTCAGCTGATGATTAATATTTATGTTTATTGGTCAGTGTACATGTATGTGAGATACTTATCTTATACCAGCATGTTACATGCTGTTTCTACTGGCTTATATTTTTTATCAGATAAAATAGTTACACAATGTGTTATAATCATAATAATATATACTGTATTAAAGCTTACAATATACCTTTAATAATGTTGTGTATTAAACTGTATTTTGCATTCAGTTACTTATAATACTAATGCCACACTGTATGTATTTGAATAGGCTATAAATAGCAGAAGCATAATCCAATGACCTTTTACTTTTACTATATAGAACTGTAAATATTTGAACAATACTGATCATGATGAAATAAAGGAGAACTTCAGGTTGTAGCTGAAGTGTAGATTTTGAATTGGGCTTGAATTTAGGACTGGATTTAAACTGTGATTCTGAAAGACAAGCAGGTCAGTTTTGTATTTTTGTTGTTGTTGCTGTAATGGTTTGCTGCTGTTATGGTTTTATTTTAAAGGATCTCCACTGAGGTTAAGTTGTTGTGGATTAAAAAGAGCTCTTCTGAGGTCAATAAGCCTAAAGAATAAACTTTAAAACATTTACATACACAATCTATGGCACATTAAACTGTAAAATATGTAACAGGTACTTAGAAGTATACAAAGTAATTAGAATTGTATTGAAATTATATTGAAAATCAATGTTTATTGTAAATTCTTACTCTGATTTGAGTTAAATAAGTCATAAAAACATTTATTTTTAGGTCATTTTTGCACATTAAAAAACAATTATTCTGGATAAATGGAGTCAGCAGATGATTTGAAATTTTGCTCAACAATTTTAACATCATTTGGTACAGAAATTTTGGAAACATTTATAATAAATTTCCAGACTTGTTGAGTTGTGTCAAAAAGCGTCAGTGCAGTCTTGTTGAACTTAAGTTTTTTTATCCCCCGCCGATGGAATCAGGAGGGGGATATAGTTTTGGCAATGTCCGTCCATTCGTCCGTCTGAATTTCGTTTCCGGACTAGTTCTCTGCATCTACTGGCTGGAATTCAAAGAAACTTTATGGGCATCATCAATATCAAGAGGAGATGCGCATATTGTCGGCTTGTTCCAGTCCGACACTTTAACTGAGAGTTATGGCCCTTGATTAGTTATGCAGTATGCATATAGAGTAAAAATTGTTTCCGCGCTACTTCTCTGCAACTACTGGCTGGAATTCAACGAAACTGTATGGGAACCTTCAATACCAAGAGAAGATGCACATATCATTGCCTTGTTGGGGTCAGACATTTTAACTCAGAGTTATGGCCCTTGAATAGTTATGCAGTATGCATATAGAAAAATATTCATTTCTGCGCTACTTCTCTGCAACTACTGGCTGAAATTCAACAAAACTTTATTGAAACGTTCAATACCAAGAGGAGATGGGCATATCATCGCATTGTTCGGGTCAGACATTTTAACTTGGAGTTATGGCCCTTGATAACTTATGCAGTATACAACCAGAGCAAAAATCGTTTCCGTGCTACTTCTCTGTAACTACTGGCTTGAATTCAATGAAACTTTATGGGATACGAAGAGGAGATGTGCATATAGTTGCCTTGTTCCGGTCAGACACTTATAACTCGGATTTATGGCCCTTGATTAGTTATGCAGTATGCATACATCTCATTGGCATTTCCAGATATTACTATTTAACACAGAGTTATGGCTCTGTTATTGCCCTGAATATTTATCAAGTTCAAAGAATATTACTGTTTATGCCATGATAAATAAAGCCTTATGTCTTCAGTTGTTGTGTTAGTAATAACCAGTACTCGGGGGGGGGGGGATATAAATTCAACAAATTTGCTTGTTGCACTATGTTCAGAAGCCATATTTTATGGTAATATTTGTGATTGCCTTATATTAATGCATAATAATATTCATTATCATTTCTAGCTAATTCATGCTTTTTGTAACATCACTTTGTGGACCATATCATAAGTGGTATTAATCATTTCTCCTGGGACAATGTTAATAGCCCGCCCCAGGGATCACTTATAGTTACTTGATATACAGTCTTGTATAGGAAAATACATTTTTATTAGTCTTTTTTGTGAAACAACAAATTGCCTAGAGTTTAAATATTTGTTATGTAGCATTGCCTTGTTGACCGTTACAAAATAGATATGTCATAATGATTGCCCCCCCCCCCCCTTTTTTTCTCTACTTCCAAATGCCCCACTCCATGAACTATTCCACCAACCATTCCACTCAAAGTGAAAAAAAAAACATTTTGATTCCAGGAAGTTAAGGCTTAAACCTTTTCAGTCTGACTTGGAATCAAATTAAAAATATTTTTTAAAAAATCTATTGAAATAGGCTTGCAGTATACGTCTAAATTCTTTATTAGGCTAGCAGTGTACTTTTTACTATAGGTTGAATATGGTACCCGGCTACCCGCTCTAGCCTGTAATAAGAACCAGCTTTTCGCGCACTTCTTATTAACTTAACAGTTTCAGCAATTGCAAAATTTTATATACAATGTACATGGAAATAGAGCAATTTTAAACTGATATGGTTTGTTACAATCTGTATTTTACATCATTCAACTCACCAATGGCACAAAATTATCTGGTAAGGGGTTGGATGTCAACATAAAAAAGATTTAGTGCCCTGTCTTGATTTCGTTACAGTATCGTTCAGTGTTTGCCTTTTTTGGTAAAGGTGCTTAAATGTTTACTTCTGTCTGGGCGGAAACGAGATCTCGGTCACTTGTGTTGAGATATATAATCTAGTGAAGGACAGGTACACTATAAATGAAAACAAACACTACGGTGACTACCTGTTCTGTACCTGTCATGGGGAGAGTAATAAATTCTTTGCACTTTTCAAAGCAAGGCCAAAAATAGCCAGATTTTGGAGGTTATTTGCACACATTTAGGACTGAACTAATTAATCAACCTAAATACAATATATAAAAACTCTGTAGATATAGAGTAAGACATATAACTTGTTACAACAAATTCTACATTATGTGATGGTCTGAGCTGAGAATGAAAAAAGATCACCAAGTAACTGAATATCATTAGAATAGATTTTAGTTGTGTTATTAATATTATAAGGTATTAGTATCTATAAAATGCTAGGAATCTGGGTGCAGTCAGGTATATGAAAAAAAAGACCTGAAGAAAACAGTTTGAAATTGTATCAATATTTTAATAGTGATCGTTGAATATCCATGATATACCGATATCGCAATTTTCAATGACAGCCCTAGGAGCTGATGTTTCTTTATTTTTTTTAAGAGTAAAATTCCAAATATTGTTTATCCCGCTGGAGCCTACAGACTGTGACTGTTTTCAAGCTCTTGCCTGAGGAAAGTATTTCAATTCTATATATAGGTCACCCAACCAAAAACATGGCCCCTGGCGTGTCCTGTACAGTAGGTGCCCCTTTTTGAGGTTTTTGTCATCCATATTGTTATCATGGGTTAGAGCATAATGTTGTACAGGTAGAACCGTAGAAATGGTTTACATTTTGTTACTTGTATAGGAATTTTGCAAAAACAAAATAACTAAACTTTTCTAGGCAAAACACAAGTATATGAGAATAACATTGTGTCAGAGTGTACAAGTGTTATCTAAAGCACCTGCTAGGAGTTAACGAACTTGCATACAAATGGTATTTCATTCTTGCATATTTATAAACTTTTCACATCTGCATATTATTTCAAATGTCATAGTGGATTACAGTGTGCAGAATGTATATAGAATGTTGAATCATATCATTAAAGTGGATTGGTCTAAAATGGGACAAATTTTACATAAATATTTCAAGTACTGACATAAAAAACAATTATAGAAAAAAATTATCATGTTGGTATGGTATAAAATATTTATTAGAGAAAATGTCGATAAAGTTTTTAGTGATAAAGTACAAGTCATGTATCAACATTTATATAATGAAGAATAATATTTTGTGCCTAGAACACTATTATCTGATATATAAATATATATGATATTGGAATCATGTAACTTACACTTCCCAACAACTTCCATATATAATCTTCTGTGTTTTATTGTTATGTCTGATACTTTAAACATACTCATTTGTTGTAGAAAATTACAGACCTTCCATTATCAACCAATTCCCTTTAATGTAAATATTTCATAATACTTTGTCAGATATGTGATTTAAGTTAACATCTGTCATTTGAAATGCTCTCCAACATTTTCTGCTTTTGAAACACAAAATTTGTACATGATTAACATAAGAGACATGGTCTTTGATGGAAGATAATATGTTTGCATATTTGCAAATTGGACCATTATTCACAGTGTTGAGATGACTTAGTGAAAGGAGAACCTTAAACTTAACATTGCATTTTAACCATACTTGTGTCGCCCATGCTGAGGAAGTGACCTCAAATAAATAATTTTGTCTGACTGAGAAAAGAAAGGCCAAAATCACAATGAGGAAATTAAATTCACCCTTTGATTTAAGTATTTTCTTCACTTTTAAATTAATCTTGGTTATAAATTACTATTCTGATATCAAGTATTTATGTGTAAGATATGAAATGAAAACACAGATGAAAAGAAACGGTGACATTCAATGAACACATTCCCCAATACAAGCCAGCAACTTGGAACAACAACATTACTGGCAAGAAGTCCAGCAGAACACCAAACTAAGATAGGAGAGGGCAGAGCACAGATTGGGTCTTATTATAAATAACTCTAAAAATTTTCTTTTGAATCCAGCATTAATAGATAAAATCAAATAGCCTAATAAATTTCCATACTGTTACCTTTTTTTCAGGAATTTTCTTTTTCTTTTTTTTTTCACAATTTAGCGATTGTCAATAGTTCCTATGGAGTTGAGATAGGGGGGCAAAAAATCATGAAACTTCAAAAGTGCATTATTGAAAAATTTTTAGTAAACTTTGCTCCTTTGTTTTCAGGAGGAAGATCAAGTGAACAACTGTTACCATGACGTCCACTTTTCACCATGACACAAGTGCCAACTATAGTGTGAATAACTCGGAGCAGTCTGGTCAAGACGAGAACACAGTTAAACTTTTATCCTACACACCAAGTTCAGATAAATCACCCGTATCAAAAAGAAATGGGACAGCTCATTCAGGTAGGAAAAATAAGAACAGTCTGGACCTTTTTCACAGGTTGCGGGGAAATATAACATGGTATTTTTGCAAAAAGGGGAAAGAAAAGAAAATAATTTGAAAATTTGAATTTTGAGGGAAGACCAGGGTAGTGTAAAGAAATAAATACTGTCTCATTTTGTATGGTAAGGTACATTCAAATTTTCATATCCAATATATTTTGAATTAATTTTTAACCATTATTAATGTTTAACATTGTACCAGCATTGAATCTTGGTTACTTGTCACATTTTTAGCTTGACTATTCAAGAAAAGGGAAAGCTAATGTACTCTCCCTGTTTTTGGTGTCACTGTCACACTTTGTTTGAGTTTTTGCGAGCTAGTTGGTATATCCAAAACTACTGAAGGGAATGGGGTGAAACTTCACACTCTTACTTGAGAGCATAATAGGAGGTCACTATCCAATGATTATAACTCTAACATTTATTTTGACAGAATTACAGCCCTTTTTGAACTAAGCAAATATTCTACTTTATTCAGGCTCTTGTTTTTTAGCTCACCTGTCACAAAGTGACAGGGTGAGCTTTTGTGATCGCTTTTCGTCCGGCGTCCGTCAGGCGTCCATCCGTTAACTTTTACTTTAAATGACATCTCCTCATAAACCACTAAGCCAATTTCATCCAAACTTCACAGGAATGTTCCTTTGGTGGTCACCTTTAAAAATTGTTCAAAGAATTTAATTCCATGCAGAACTCTGGTTGCCATGGCAACCGAAAGAACAAACTTTAAATATCTTCTTTTAAACAACCATAAGAGCTAGAGCTTAGATATTTGGCAAGAAACATGTTCTAGTGAGTGTCTACCAAGTTTGTTCAAATAAAAGCCCTGGGGTCAAAATTGGCCCGGCCCCGGGGGGTCGTTGATTTTCCCTATATGCATATATTAAAAATTAAAAAATCTTCTTTTAAAGAACCCAAAGAGCTAGAGCTAAGATATTTAGCATGAAACATGTTCTAATGGGTGTCTACCAAGTTTGTTCAAATAAAAGCCCTGGGGTCAAAATTGGCCCCGCCCCGGGGGGTCATTGATTTTCCCTATATGCATATAGTAAAAACTTAAAAAATCTTCTTTTAAAGAAGTCAAAGAGCTATGGCTAAGATATTGAGCATCAAACATGTTCTAATAGGTGTCTACCAAGTTTGTTCAAATAAAAGCCCTGGGGTCAAAATTGGCCCCGCCCCAGGGGGTCATTGATTTTCCCTATATGCATATAGTAAAAACTTAAAAAATCTTCTTTTAAAGAACCCAAAGTGTTACAGCTAAGATATTTGGCATGAAACATGTTGTAATAAGTGTCTACCAAGTTTGTTCAAATAAAAGCCCCGGGGTCAAAATTGGCCCCGGCCCGGGGGGGGGGGGTCATTGATTTTCCCTATATGCATATAGTAAAAACTTAAAAAATCTTCTTTTAAAGAACTCAAAGAGCTATGGCTAAGATATTTAGCATGAAACATGTTCTAATAGGTTTCTTCCAAATTTGTTTAAATAAAAGCCCTTGGGTCAAAATTGGCACCGCCCAGGGGGTCATTGGTTTTCCTAATATGTGTATAGCAAAAACTTAAAAAATCTTCTTTGAAAAAACCCAAATAGCTAGAGTTAAGTTATTAAGCATGAAACATCTTTTAGTGAGTGTCTACAAAGTTTGTTCAAATAAAAGACCTGGGGTCAAAATTGGCCCCGCCCGGGGGGTCATTGATTTTCTTTATATGTGACAGTGTATAGCAAAAACTTAAAATCTTCTTTGAAAAAACCCAAATAGCTAGAGTTTAGATATTAAGCATGAAACATCTTCTTGTAAGTGTCTACAAAGTATGTTCAAATAAAAGCCCTGGGGTCAAAACTGGCCCGGCCCCAGGGGTGTCATTGTTTTTAACTATATGTGTATAGTAAAAACTTAAAAAAAGTCTTCTTTTAAAAAGCCAAATGAGCTAGAGCTTAGATGTTTAGCATGAAACATCTTCTTATGGGTGTCTACCAAGTTTGTGCAAATAAAAGCCCTTGGGTTAAAATTGGCCCTGCAACGTTGGGGGTTGGGGGGCCTATATACAGGTGAGCGACCTCAGGGCCATCATGGCCCTCTTGTTTGTATCTTTGATTTCTTAAAAATCAAGAAAAATTTCAATTGGGAAGCTATGTCATTAAGCTGCAATCTATAGTCCAGAGATATGAATGATTTAGGGGGGGATATCAATTAAACGAATTTTCTTGTGTAATTTAAATTAAATTCTTTACAAAAAAAAAAGATGTAAAGTTGATACACAGAATAATATAAGCAGAGTTTCCACTTGGCAATAAATTGGCAAATTGCAGCGGAAACCCTGATATATATTTACATCATGAATTTAAAATCCTGCTATCTTTTTTGGAAGTTGATAATTAATACTACTGAAATCATTATTGATAAAAATAATTCTCAAAGAACTTGATAATAAATGTTATCTACTTGTCTTATAAATGGATACGTAATTAGCATCAGTAAAAGATCCATATATAAGGTAATATGAGGTTGTATGCCTGGTTTATTAAAATGACCATGTTCGTTTTTCTAGAGATGGGAAGTCCAGATGAAAAGAAAAAGTTTATTGACACCATTAATACCACCCCTGTGAAGCTGGACCCTGGCTTTGATTCTCTAGATAGAACAGTTGAGTTTACAAACTTGGAGAAACAGCATATAGATGATCATCCTCCACCTGACAGGTAAATCTTGTTACTTCTGTATTGCTTGCACTTACCCTTCCCCCATCCCACTCTTATTAGCACCCCACCACATTCTGTACAAGAAAATTAATTTTAGCTTAAAGATTTATAATACAACATCCAAATGGGTGTTAAATGGGAACAATACAGTATTTTAATGATAAATGTAGACTTTAAATATTTATATTTTCAGGGGTTCTGACTGAAATTCATTGCTTGATAATTTGTCAGAGTCAATCATTTTCCTGTTGATGTGTAAATTATTTCGATAAATTGATTACTACTTAAAACATGGGCAAGTGAGCTTAAATATTTCAGAACCCCTACTTTATATATGGCTAAGATCTGACTGTTTTGATAATGATTTATTTTTATGTGTAACTGTTCCTGTAGATAGTGCTGACAACATTGCTGTAAAATATCTACAGCTCCTTGTGGCTGACTGGTTGCATTTAAGGGTTGAGGCATCAGAATTGCACTTCTGTGATTTTAAGAGGCGACTAAATGGGCTGAATTACTGGAGTCTATGCATCACTTACAGGAGATGAGATGGTTTTGACCCATGGTGTTGCTTTATGTTTGAAACATTGTAACACCAGATGTTAGCCAAAATCTTCCTTCCAGTTTCAGTCCATATGACCTAAATTGTGTTGATCCGCCATAAAACCAAATAAAAAATATACCAACAGAATCATTATTTTGTTATATAACTTCTTTCAGGTATAGAATGGTATTCTTTATTTTCCTGATTCATGGTATTGGAATCTTGATGCCCTGGAACATGTTTATTACAGCCAAAAAGGTAAACTGTTGTTTCTTGCCTATTTAATATTAGGGTTATCATTTGCGAAGCATTTTTGTTAGCAGAAAATCTTTTGATCCTCTAATGTGGTAAGACCTCACTCTTGCTATAAACAGATATTTCCTTTATGCAGGTTTCTCTGGGTCCCAGACAAAGGTTTTGGTCCCAGGCCTGCCATTTTTCAACAGGAGCGCATCCCAAGACCCCCCACTTACCATATATTTTAGAATATCTATTCCTTTAAGATAATATGCTTAAACTTTGGTGTAAAGAAAATCATGTGTATTGTATAGGCACTATCGATTAAAATAAAATCAGTTCACATGCTCCAAAGTTTATCTCTAAGATGACTGTCCTTGAAATACAAGCCTTAGTTAAGAAAAGTTTAAACAGTTCATGATAAGTTATATTAAGCCATCCGATTAACTCAATAGGTAGAGGGTTTGACTTTGAATTTCATTGTGATTGATTGACGTTCTTTCTACAGTGATTTGCACTGTACCTCTGCTCTTGCATGTACAGAAGTAATCATTTTGATAGCCTGCCCAGGAATGATGCGGTGGCTGAACAGTGCTCTGGTAAATTCAATGTGGCTTACTGCCATGATTCAGAGTGAAAACTACCAATGCCACCACCTACAAGTTTTATTGATTTAAGTTGCTGAAATAAAGTTTTGATATGGGGACTCTTAAAAAAACTACAGTGGATTTTGTCTGTAATTCCTAGGGAATACCCTGCAGTATAAAACACTAGCCCATTTCTCCGGCATGTATGAATGTCTCTGGGCAAATCCATTATATGACTTCAGCAGGTTACGGGATACTGTAACCCAATTTATATTCGCGAATACAAATTTTCGCGTTTTGCCGAGGTCGGACATATTCGCGAATATTAATTTCCGCGTTTTCTTGATTTCCGAAAAAAAAAATTCGCGGATTGGAAAGTCCGATGGGGCAGTAAAATCCATTAGCCGACTATTAATCTTCAATAATTGAGGTCATTATTGGTGTCTTAAATGGGATTAACAATACGCTAGCCTTATATTGTATTGGTAAGTGAATTGTGATCACAATTCAGCAAAACATTTTCTCTATATTGTACATATACGCATCGTTCGTCTTCATTTTATCTAGAAAAGTCTTTAAGAAATTCAATTTTAGCGTTTCATAAAAAAATACCTTCTTCAATCAGGGATCGAACCCACGCCGAGAAAATTATATTATATGAGTCCGCAATATAACCAGTTGAGCTATACAGACTGTTAAGTTTGACGGGTAAAAATCGATACTGTTATGAAACCATCTTGTATTTCACTGTTTGTAATTATGTACACCCAATACCCTTTTGTGATGCTCGATAGGTCTATACCACCTTTGTCTTAACAATTCACTCAAACAATTATTTTATAGAATCCAAAAAAACAATAGCCTTTTGTGATGCTTGACAGTTTTCCCACTTTTGTCAAACGATTTATTCAAACATTTTTTAAAATAAGTGGGAGTACTTTGTATGCATATACTTAGCATAGAAGTGTAAATATGAAGAAACTTAAAACTGACACATGATCCGTATAGTACCCTATACGGAACGTGATTGACAATAGGCCTACTAGTATTTCATAAACTGTATTAAAATGTGGATGTTTATTTTGATTGCTATATTGACATAGAATTCTTTTGATATTTATAAAATAGTAGTAGTTTACTTAGTTTGTGTTTTTATTGCTTTATGGCAATATTCATAACAATTCATTACTTCCTAACAGGTGCCCGTAAAATTCGAATATATCCGGTCAAGTAGCTTTGCATAACCACGTCTAAAATAAAAAAAAATTCTCTCCAATTTATTCGCGAAATCGTGCGGACTAATTCGCGCAAACAAATATTCGCGCTTCGTGGCCATCCGCGAATAAAGCGAATATTAATTGGTCGCGAATATTCGTTGGGTTACAGTAACTGAATCAGTATAGTTATGGAATGAATCTCAAATAAAAATGATTGAAGGTTTCAAGGAACTTAGCTTAAAGGCTTCTTAGTCTATTTTCACTCAACTGGAGGCTAGGTGTATGTAACTTCCATCTGATAATTTGTCACTTTAAGCTAAGTGTCTGACATTTATTTATTAAAAACAAAGTTCCAATTTGTGTTTTTCAGTATTTTGAAGACTACAAGTTGAATACACCGACCAGCCAGGATGCATCGTATCGTACAGAATTTATGTTTTATTTGGGTATAGTGTCGCAGGTTTCCAATGCTGTCATCAGTTGTGTTAACACATTCTTCCAATTTGGAGGGTAACCACTGTTTGTTTTTTATCCTTATATACACTGGTAAAATTTTCCGGGATTTTCCTCAATTTCATGATTTTTAAGACTCCAGGAATGATTTTAATTTCACCTGTGTGACTTGAAAAATGTATGAATGAAAAAAATTTACAAAACCATTTGATTTCAAAGCAAGCCATCAGGATTAGAATTATAAACATTTTGATAATATTATAGTCACTCTAAAATAATATACAGAGATTGTCCGTGGCTTTTCTCTGCAAGTAGAGCTGAAATGTTGCCATATGACTTAGATGTCCTATATACATGTGTGACTTTGAAAATGTATGTATACAGTGTATTATATGAGAACATTGCTATCTAATTTCTAACCAACTTAACATATTGTCAAGAAATTGACATTTATAATAAAAAACACTGGAAAGTATTTACTTTTAAGCAAATATGTGTGTATGTGTGCCTTCTTAACTGCCATTTAGAGCTGTGCATATGTAAAACATTGTTTAATTAAAACATTAGTTGCATTTCAAAACAATCATGATATTTGAAGTTCAGTGAGTGTAAGTTGAGGGCATTGGTGAAAATTATCTGTTTTACTGAGTCACCCCATTTTGTTCAAAGTGCAAAGTTACAGATTCATGATGTTGCATTTCTATTAAAGTATAAAGATAGGGTTAAACATTAGTTTATTGTAGGTTGGAGACTGGCTATCTAGCCCATTTCTCCTCCACTGAACATTGCTTCAAGAGATCATGTTGGGAAGTTATTAATTACTTGTAGAGAATAATGTAAACACCCACAACAGGGTCTTTCAAAAAGAATGGTCTGGAAACGCGCTTTGCCAACCCTTTTCCAGGCTTCGCGAAACTGCTGAAAAATTTGCCTGACATTCGGTCAGACAAACTTTCAATTCTTGTCTGACCGAAAGAACTTTTGTTTAACCGAATTTTTTTTTCCAAATATATGTATATGGTAATACCTTTGTGTATTTTTAAAGACATAACAACTTTTAAAGATTTGCAACACAATTTTATTCCCTTAAATAAAACATTAGTTTATCCAGATTAATGGACTCTGTCTGGAAATCAAAACATTCATGATCAAAGCGGCTATTTTTCCATTTACCCACAAATTCTCGGCGGGCGCCTGGACTCGTATTCCTTTTGTTTCGCTTTTTTTTCTTCATTTGTTAGTTTACGATTTTTGCCGGGCGTAGCGCCAGCGTAATAATGTAGTAACACCGACATTTTGGTTATTGACAGTCGTATGTATCTAGAATTTGATTGGACACTTATAATGAAACGGCGAATCAAAACTCGGTTTACATTTTTTTATTCAAGGGAGAAAACTCGGTCTTGATCGGTCTTGGATATATCCCGGTATTCGTACCGGACATAAAGTCCGGAACTCCGAAAAAAAATATCGGACCGGCCTGATTTTTGCCGGACATGTCCGACGGTCCGGCAACTTTCGCGAAGCCTGCTTTTCTGCTACAATTAAACATGTCTCGGGATGACTCAGTATAGTTTGCTATACGCAAATTGTGTAAATGTTCAAGAATGGGGCTAAAATTAAAAACAATAGCAAAAATGAAAATTCTAACATCATGATGTTCTTTAAAAGTCTTTAAACTTTTGGGAAAAAAAGATGATTATTTCAGAAAATAATGATTTTAAAGCCATGATCTGTTGAAAAATATAGATTGGTTGTTCAGAATATTTGCAGACAAATGGCGATTTCAATTTGAAAGACCCTGCCCATAACAAATAGATTTTTGTGACCCACTCAAGTGTCAATATTATTGTTATGTTTATTTATGGATTAGTTTTATTACTCAATATCTGTTTCATTTCATTACTTATGTGTTCCATTATTTTATTATCTGTATGTGTTCTATTTTATTACAGTCAACAATCAACAAGAAGAATTGCCATTGCTTTGTTTATGATGGTGATAATTTTCATATTTACTGTGATCCTCGCCATGGTTAATACTTCCAGTAGTAAGTTGACTATTTAGATATGACCTTGACCTTTAAATTGACCTTGACTGTCAAGGTCAAACTAATGAATTCTTTTGTTTGTCCTAATGGTACTCTCACAGATAGATTTATTGTATATAGGTGTTATCCAGAATTCGGGTAACGTGGGTTTATCCAAAGCTAATCCATTCAGTACAAACAACCTTTTACAGTTATAGCTTCCCGGCGCCTCACTAGTAACAATAGATTAGTAAACCTGTCGCACTTATTTTCGAAGTTGTAACTGTAAAGGTTTGTTGTACCCCTAGATTAGCTGGGGTGGGAACATTTTATGATTCCTGAGTAAGTCTATTAAAGCTAGTGAAAATATTTTAGTTCGAACCACTCAAGACAGTCTTGAGCACTTGCTGTAAATTAACCAGAACTGATGTTGTATGTGAACTAAACATAGTTGTGCTCCAATGAGGCTCAAACTTACAACCCTTAAGGTAGACACATGAGCTACTTGGCCATCTTTTCTTTAGAATTTGTATATTGACACACTTTGAATTCGACTTCTCTCATTGTGGGCCAGTTTAAATATTTCTAGATAAGTTCAATAGCTCCCTGTTAAGGGGACAGTGGTTTTACCTACTTGAGCAGTTTTGTATGAAATAATGAGAGGAGGAACACCGTAAGGTTTGCCTCAACTAGTGAAGAAGGAAAAGCACTAAATGACCTTTATAGTGTTGGTATAGCTCATAATTGAAACAAAAAATTCATAACTGTTCAAATTGATATCTGAGGGGGCGTCAGTGGCCAAATGGTTGTGGTCTTTGACTTAGAACCGCATGCAAGGCACTGCTGTGGATTTGAATCCTGACAGCGACTTAAGATTCTTTCATGTGAGAAACCTATCCAGCTAGCTTACGGAACATCGGTGGTTTTACTTGCAGTGTTTATTCTAGGATTCGAAAAACAGGGGGGATTTTTATCAAAAAGTGAGAATTTATTACATTTGTTGATCTTTTTCCTTCTTTGTCTATGTAAAAATTTTCCCCCTTCCTCTCAAAAAATAGGGGTGAATTCTCAAAAATATGGGTGAATTCCCCCATCGCCCCTCCTAGAATAGACACTGTACTTGGTGTCCATTCATGTCTGAAATAATGCATGGAAGTTACCTGAGGTCTTCCTCCAACAGTAAAGCTGGAAAGTTGCCATATTACCTTTACTGTGTTGGTGTGACATAAAACACAACCAAAAAACAAAACAAGAACAATGATGCCTGTTTTAATATTTATTTATTGATTTAATGTTGCAATTTTTCATTTCAGTTCCCTTCTATTTCTTTTGTCTAACCATGGCTTCAGCCTCGCTTATGAATTGTAAGTATATCTGAAATAGAATAAGTTTTGAGATTAAATTAATCATCTGTTACTATAATTAGACATCTGTGGTAGAGTAGTTTTGTGTGCTAAATTCTTGTCACTCCTCACAGCTGTATGTCTTACCACACTAAAGTTCTATGTTGAAATTAAAGTGAGATAAAGGTTTACAGTTGATTGAGGTAAGGTTGGTGATTATATTGTAAATTGTTAATTCATGCCAAACATTTCTAGAAAAGCAGGCTTGGACATTCTGTCACCAATAAAGCTTGGATAAGTTAAATACTGTCATGATGACTGAATACCCAAACATGGTTAACAGTAGTGTTTAATTGATTAATCAGATTGTCAGAAATGTTAAGTGTCAACTGACAATAAAAGTCTTTGTCAGAAATTCATTAAAGTGTCAACTGACAATTATAGTATTGGCCAATATCACATACCATAAAATTATCAGCAATCAGTTTTTGGAGATTACAAATATTTCTTTTGTCAAAGAGATATTTCCCAACTGGAGAATTATTTATCTGTAGCTGTGAATCCGTGACCATTTGTCAGTTACTTTTGTAGTAGTAAGAATATTCAATTTTCATACTCTTTTTTTTTTTTTTTTTTTTTTGTATATGTAAATTTGTATACGTAAATGTAAATCATAAATGATAACTTTTATAATTTATTACCTTAAATTATGATAATTGCATTATCAATTTTGCATTCATGTATTATTTTTTTCTCCATATCTGTTTGAAAAGACATGCCCTTCCAAATGTAAATGGTTTGTGTACAGGTCAAAGTCAAAATAACTCATTTTCCCATAATTGTTTTTAATTTTATAGTCTTAGTGATGTGTATAATCAATATCTCATGCGACTCTAAAAAAAATTCTATAAATATCCTTCAGAATGTACATGTATCATTAACATAATTATTATTGATAAAGTGAGTAGGACAGTCTTTGTATAATTTAGGCAGTTTTAAAACATTTTTCATTGTCAATTATTGGTCAATGACCATTATAACATTCTCATCTTTTTAAATATAAAGTCAATTTAGCTGAACTCAACAATGGAAAAAACAAGTGCATAATGTGACTAAATGCAAATATTATAAGAATCTTATTGAAATGAAACTGAACACTGATGTTTTAATAATATTGTTGCGTTATTTGTTATAAAGGTTGTGCTGGTGTGTATCAGAACAGTACGTTTGGACTGGCTGCCATCTTACCTATGAAATATACCAACGCTATTGTGTTAGGAACGGTAAGTTTGGAAACAAGTTTGTGAAACAATTATGTGTTGTTAAAGTTTTGATAACCTAATGGGCATAATTATCCCTTTCAAAAAAAGATTTAATCAGCTATTATTTTTAAAAGATTGCTAAAAGTCTATGATTTATTTATGGTAAGAGCCTCTGTGGTAACAGAGTGGTACAGGTCACTTACTGAATCTCTTGCTTCAGACTGCTGTGGATTCGAATCCCACAAGCCATTGCAAATTCTTTCATGTAAAAGCTTCCAGAAGGCTGATTATACCCCCACAAATGAAGTTTAGTGGGGATACATAGGAGTCAGCTTGTCTGTCAGTCAGTCTGTACGTCCATCCACTTCATGGTTTCCAGACGATAAATAGTGTTTGGAATGAGGTATTGTTATCAAACTTAGTGTATAGCAACCTTATGTGAAAACCCTGGTTGGTATTGCATTTGGACCCCGTGGGGTCAAGGTCACCGTTACAAAAAATAGAAAAATGTTTGCCGAACAATAACTAGTTAGGAATGAGATATTGTAATCAAACTTAGTGTATAGCAAGCTTATGTGAAGACCCTGGTTGGTAATGCATTTGGACCCCTTAGGGTCAAGGTCATCATTACTGAAATAATGCATGGAAGATTGTGAAGCTTTCCTCCACCAGTAAAGCTAGGAAGCAGCCTTTTGTTATGACCATTCCTGTGTTGTGACTTAAAACCCAAAAAATGCTGATTAATTGTAAGGCTATAAAGATTTAGTAACATGCTCAAATCTGTATTATTTTGATGTACACAAGCAGAGACTTATAATACAGGGATAAGCAGATCTAGAAATACATTTTCCTGTCCAAACCCACAATACTTTACTCGAGATTCAGTTGATAAAGATCTTTGATTTTTGTAGAAAGCTTCATGTTCACAGCTATAAGTCCCTTGTGTTTTGGGGGTTGCATTAATGGTTGGGGAATAAGAATTGCAGCCACCGTTTATCCCTGCATGTTCGTAAGAAGTGACTAAATGGGTTCGAATAACAGGAGTCTTTGCATCTCTCAGCTCCAGCAGGTGAATGGCTTTGACCCATGGTGTTGCTTTGAAGTTTGTAACACCGAGGTTAGCCTAATTTATCTTTCCTGTTCTGATGCTATATGACCTATACTGCGTTGGTGTGCCGTAAAACCAAACAAACAAACCACAGTTATAAACTTTGCTTAATTTATTTCAGAATCTCAGTGGGGTGTTCACATCTGTGATTAATATTTTGTCCATAGCAGGTAAGGTTCTTTCATATTTTTATATGTTTATTAAGTGTAAAGTTTCATAAGAAGTTACAACGGACAAGTATGACTTACGTATGTGTATTTATTTTTGACATAGAAATAAATAAAAACTGTAGAATACCAAGCATTGGATGTGATGTTATACGAAATAGAAATGGTTCATAAAAAGTTATGTTTGTTCACAATTACCTAAAAATCTACTCAAAATTGTAAAAGAAAAAATATCCCTCTAAAAACTTGTAAACCGCATGCAGCAATTTTGTGTTCACAAAATACATTGCAAGTGGTGTGAACTGTTGTTTATAGAAAACTTTCTTTTTTTCATGACTGCAACCTTTTGTTAAGACTAAAAAATTGATCTGTTAGGCTAGACAGACCAGGAAAAAAATAAGTCAAAACTATTTTCCCATGGACTGATGAATGTTGATCATTTTAATTTTATGTATATTACATATTAGCTATACCATTCTACATTAATGTTGTTTTTTCAGGCAATATTATGTTATAATTGATTACATAGAAAAGGTATATTTAAATTAGAAAAAAAATAAATCTGAATCCTAGAGCTTTTATAAAGAGATTTGATCATTCTGCCTTTTCATCATCATTTTCTCTCTCAATTTGATCTATATCACATAAGCCCATTTGATTTACTCCATAGAAAGTGCCAGGTCTATAAACTTGATATTTGTTAATTCCCTGGCTTCCTGTATGATTTAACATGACACATTTGTCTATGATTATCAGGCCTTACAGTGTTTTTTTTTCTTTATATAACTACTACCCTAAAACGGTACTGTTCCCAATAGAAAATAGACATTAAAATTCCCAATTTCCAATGTTTAAATTCCCAAAATGGCTGTTCAAAATTGCCACAAGGCCAAGTGATTTCTCTGAAATCATTTAAATCCAATATATTCATATAAATCACCACTCAATAGTTCTACCTGGACTGTGAAAGCTGTTAGCTATCTTTATACATGATGGCTAATCTTATTTGTAGCTGAAAAAATGCATGAAAAAAATCCCAATTTAAGTCAAAATAACGCATTTTTCCCAATCAATCTGGTACCGGCACCATTCCCAAAGTAGAGAAAAAAGCACTGCCTTATGTCCTCCACTGCTGGGTTGAATGGTTTACGGGAGAGAACGTTAACTGTTTCTTGTACCCAATCAACCTGCTGAATTTCTGGTATAGACTTTACTTGGCTTCCCCTTAATTTTGAACAGTCCATTTAAATGTTTAGAGGCACAAGAATTGAGCTACCAGCATAGTAGAGCCTGGTCAGACTGCACGGATGCGCAAGCTGGCCTGACTCTATACTGGTAACAAAGCTTATCACTAACAATCACAGCAGGTTTAGCTAAGGGTTGGTCACAAATACAGAACAATACTCCACACAGATATGACAAACTTCAAGTACATGACTGAAATACTGTTAAGTGCTGCCAACAGCAAAAATGTACACACCTTTAACATTTGTATTGGGGGCGCAGTGTTGCATCTAGGCCGCGCGATTTGCGCATTTTTTATGAAGATCGTGCATTTTAATGAAGTCAGTGCGCGCCAAGTCGCGCATCTAACTATCTTTTCAACTTAATTCAGTTTATCTTCATCGTATCTTAAACGCTTCAGCCATGTTTGTTTTCACTCGTGGTTATGACTAAAATACGTACTAAATCGCGTGTAGCAGCCGACTAAGTCATCTCGGGTGTGTTTTGTAGTATTCGTCAATATTTTATTTTTTCTACTTCCGTTTTTGAGCGGACGATAGCTGTCAAAAATGCCTGAATGTAAAATAAATGAATTCTATTCGGTATGTCATATTGTAAGGTAAATGTATGTCCCCCAAATTTTTTTCAAATCCCCCACATTTTTCGATTGAGTGGGGGGCAATCCCCCATAATTTTGAAATTCTAGATGCAACACTGGGGCGTCCGTGGCCGAGTGGTTAAGGTCATTGACTTTAAAACCACTTGCCCCTCACTGCTGAGGGTTCAAATCCCAACAGATATTTGAATTCTTTCATGTTAGAAAACGTGGTTCTACTCAGATGAAAGTTCATGCCTGAAATAATGCAAAGAAGATCACCTGTCTTCCTCCACAAGTAAAGCTGGCAAGTTGTCATATGACCTATAATGTGTGGTGCTACGTAAAACTCAACCCAAAAAATATTACTTTTCTTTAAAACAACATAACCTATTTATTTCATTACCATTGAATTTCTATTATCATGCTTTTCCTAAATGTGTAGGCAACATATGTAGATTGAGATCATAAAAAAAGAAAGTGTTCAATGCATTTACATTTCTTTATCAGGTCAGCACCTTCTTTCAGCATTATCACAGCTTTTATCTTTTGTTACCCTGTGTGAACAAGACTTTACCTGCTCGTTAGTTAATTCTATGAAAGAAAGTTTGTTTTACTTCCTATGAGCAAAACTGATGCCATTTGTGAGATTTAGTAAAAAATATATGCACAGATAATATGTTTATACTTCTAGGAAACATGAACTTCAATGTGTAAACAGTAAGTTTAATGTAAAATGTAAATTAAGATACAAGTTATCAATATGTTGATGAGGCATAAACATTTTTGTTTAAATGGCACAAAACCATAATTAGGTTAAGAACTCAATTCAAGTATTTCTATGCTTAATGAAAGAATTGCTTTACTATATAGTTTGGGCTTGTTATGATAAACTATGACCTTGAATATCTCAAATAAGTTTTGTGAGAAGTCTATTTTTTTGCAAGAGCTCTTAAGATTATTTTATGAAATGGCTGTTACATTTTGAGGTACCATAATCGGATTAAAAGTTATTAGTGACAAGTCACTATAACAAGATTTCAGGTGAATATTTACGCCCATATTTTGCTCAATAGGGAGAACAGAAAATTTGTAATCCAGTGGTTGCTGGTTTCATCCTCGTGGCAAGGCGTGAATTTTTTGTTGCAGTTGATGTCTGACATTGAGTTTACTGGTCATTGTCTCACCGCTGATTTAGTGAGGACAAAATTGGTCGTTACTGGTTAGTTCTCCAGGAAAGCCAGTTAGGTAAACCGATCACTGTGATACGATCAAAAGTGTGTTGTTTTTCTGGACAAATATTGTTTTTGCCATACATAGTTTTGATATCTATTGATTGTATATATAATGAATATTTTAGGATTATCTGTTCTTGTGCTATGTACGTCTGAATCTGATGTTTTTGTTTGCCTTTTGTTGATGAAATTTTGTTGAATTGCAGTACGTTTATTTTATGAATATGCTTGTCTGTTGTTGACTATGGATTCAATTACACAGTAATGACTGTATTAATTTTTTCTGGCTTTTATTATAATGAACTTGTTGTCATGTTTCAGGTGCTCCAGACCCGAAGACATCAGCTGTTTATTATTTCATTGTTGCCATTGTGGTCCTGCTGGTGGCTTTTGATTGTTACTTTTTACTTCCACTCACTGTAAGGAAATAGTCATTCTTTTGGACATTTTAAAAACGCCTTTTGGTTCATTCATATACCTTTAGAGTTTTATTTGTCATTATATTAATTTTATATCAATTAATTATTAAAACATCCTTGGGCCAGTCATAGGATTTCTTTTGGACTTATCAGATTTTAGCTTTGAATTTATTTATTTTTAGCCAAAATAATACCGTTATTTGCTACATGTATAAATTCTCGGTATGTCTTCAGCTATATTTAGATTAAGGTGGTCTGAAGCTTAAGTTACAATGTAACTGGAAGATACAATTACTTAAATGAAAAATTCATCAGAAAAAGTTTTTTGGAATGAATTTTGTCATAAACCGGAGACCTTTCATTTCTGTGAAACATACATCTTTAGTGTATGACTTCAACCCAACAGAAAAAATGAAATGAAACTACATTATTATCATGACTATCGAAGAATAGGGAGAGCTATTGTACTCACCTAGGCATCATTGCTGTCACATTTTGTTTTGTTTGTTTTTTGGGGGGGTGGGGGTGCAAGTTGGTATCTCCAAAACAAAAATAAAATGGGTTAAAACCTCACACACTTATTTGAGAATAGGGTCACTGTCCAAGGTCTATAATTCAAACACTGTGTGTTGCTTTGAATGTTTAAGCTGCATTAATTTCCACTCTTATTGAACAAGTTTGTTGCTAAAACATTTTCAGAAATACTACCAATATTTCCTGAAATCAGTGCATGGTTCTGAGCCAGTTGAAGAGAAGAAAATGAGGTGTGGAGATTATTTAAATGCTTTCTTAGAGTCATGTAAAACCTACTGGATAGTGATCAAGAAGGTAAGTTATTAAATATGTATATAGGATCTTTGTCCTCAGCCACTGAGTCTACCTCCTTTCATTATTGTCTTAGGTTACTGTAAATTTAGGTTCTCGTTGACCACCATACAGTGACCTACTTTTGGCTCAAAAATCATATCTTTGGCTTATACTCGGTGGAAATTCCATGGAGGTAAATTATCACCACTTTGTGAAAAATAAAACTTTAAGGGCATGACTGGTGACATGTCCGGGTATGCACTCGACAACGAAAGCTGCTTTTTGTACCTTACCGGGTGGATGGACCCTCATTTAACATAGACTAAATACATACTGCTGAGAGGTAAAAGTTGTTGACTTTTAATGACTTGCCAGTGCAATCCTGCAAAGGTTATAGAATACTTTCATGTTAGGGAGCAAGTTGATTCATTATTGGTGGTATTACTCGGCAGTTTGTGCCTGAAATAATGTACAAAGAGGCTGGTCTGTCGATGTTTTCCAAGTTGTCATAAGACCTCTAGATTTATATGTGATGCTAGCTTTATGTAAGGAAATATTTTTATGCTAAAAACACAATTATCATAATTGACTAGCTTCTTTTATATTTGAATAGTATCTTGAAGGGACACTACTGAGGTTTTTTGATAAGAGGAGACTGGGAATACTTTTTGGGAGATTTGTGGACCATTTGATGTAGGTCTCAACCAAACACTTACCTGCAAATTTTCTGATCATTTTCCTCATCCGACTTTTCCAGAATATGATTTTATTGTGCAAAATAACTCTAAAGTATAAAGTATTGCAACGCTTTTCACTCAAATCGGACTAGGGATTGCACTAACTATGGATTTTCAATTTAATTCTGTGTTTATTTCTAATTATCATTGGCAGATTTTTCCAGTTTATGTGCTTCACTATGTAAAGATTTCAAATTTTATGTTTTTAAGATTTTCTCCCCAGCAGAGCTCTTTATAAACTTCCATTTTATCTATCTAACCTTAAAACTACATGAATCAAAGATTTATTACAGTAGAAAGTTATTTCAAAATCTTGAGTGATGATTACTTTGGCTTAGATTTTGTCTTGATCAAGTTGTATTCTTTGTGTAAATTTCAGATCAAACTCCAGTTGTTTGGTGTATGGTTGACATTCTGTGTGTCCCTCATTTTGTTCCCGGCCATACAGAGTAATGTAGCTATGATTAAGGAACCATTCACAAATGACAACGGCACTGAAGTGTACAGAACTGTACTCTTCAATGAAGAATTTGGTAAGAATTAATAATCTTAACTTTTTCTCCCTTGACTTTGTGGAATGGACTTTACCAGCTTGGGATTTGGAATAGACCATTATAAGCTAAGGGTATTTCTAAAACTTCTAAATCAACATAATAAAAGTTGAAGCGTCTTTAACAGTTTGGGTCATTTCAGCTGGCATGGATATGTGGTGGCATCCTTGTCTGACACATTTCTGGTTAGTTATGATATTGTTACTAATAATGGATAATATTGAGAATGAATTGCTCATTTATAAAGAATGATAGTATAGAGATAGCGGAGAGCAAAAACGGTAGTCAAATATGATTTATTTTTTAACATTTGACGCAAAGAAGTAATTTTCCAAGGGAGACAAATTTGATAATGACATTATTAGAAATTGAATTAAGTTGTTTCCCTTGTTTAAGGATTTGATGGTGATTTTGATACCAAATAGATGAAATAATAGAGCCATAATTAGCAGTGTATGAAAATACAGATTAACCAGGTTATTTTACTGATGGTGTAGGCTTGTCACTGTTGACAGCATTTGAAGACTTGTTTATTTTTGTGGTTTAATTTCCACACAAGGAATGGCTGCGTTACATCATTATTGGTTAAAGGAAGATGTGCCTCTTGTACTAATTGACCTTAAGGTGTGAGACTGACTTGTATAGAAATGTTGACAGCTAGCTTTATAAAAGCCTGTGAAAACTCTGGCCTGTTCTTGGACATTTTGGGGAAAAATACATGTACCTTACCCATTTTGGAGAATTTTACATTGTAAAATTGCCTAAATTTGTGGAAAATATGTGGTGCCTATTGTAACCACCTTTCAGGTGCTTTTGGTGTTTTATTTGGAGTAGTGTGACATTGTTAACACCAACCAATGCAAATATCATCCGATGCATAACAGATACAAATACAATTTTGAAGACACATCTGTCTATTACTATACCGGAAATTACCTGGAATGGTACTTTAAGCCTACATAGTAAGGGTTTATCAGTATACCGATATATGATAAAAAAAAATCGTACCACAGTACGATTTTTGGAAAACCGTTATTTTATAAAATCATTATTATCAAATTAATTGCCTTCTAATTTTGTACAAATTTCACATAAAATATATAATTGGCGAATTTTATCGGCGCCAACATAAGATAAAATTATCCGACAACTAGTACACTTAAAAGTCAATAAGAGGTCGCATAAATTACATAAGCGGCCCAGATGTGAAAGGTCACACGCGACTAGTTTGTTTATCAAATTGTGTGACACTTCACTTTCTATTTAGTCCATACATTCTTATTAAGTTTCCCCTTATAATAATATATAATGTTTATTGTTACCCAATCTTTAAATCAAAACATATTCACGACAATATGTATTGCAATACGCTTCTGCAAAATGGCAATATATTGCAATACGGTTTTTGCCATATTGTTACACCCCTACTACAGAGTATGGGTTGCTGACACAACTGTTCCAAATAAGCATCAGGTAGTAGATTTATTTTTACATGCCACCTAAACTCTTGTTGTTTTTTTTCCTTTTCAGAAAAGAAAGGTTATTGGGTTTCTATATTTACCTTCCTCAGCTTTAACTTGTTCGCTTTCCTGGGAAATCTTACATCCGAATATATCAGATGGGTATGTTTTTGTCTTTTATATGATCAAAATTAAATCATCAAATTTATATTTAAAAAAAAATGTGGTAAAGTAGGTGTTAAAATCCAGAGCTTTTTGACTTACATTGTTTCTTTATCACAGTTGGATTTCGCTTAATCTTTTATTTGTCAGTGAAATTATTTTTAATTCATTTTGTTTATATATATATTTGCAGCCAGGTCCGAAACGTGTCTGGATCCCAATCGTGTTGCGAGCATTGGTCTTGATTCCAATATATGTGTTTTGTAACTATCAGCCATTTGGGGTGGAGCGTCGGTTCCCAGTTTTAATTCCAAACGACATAGTGTTTATCCTTGCCGGAATCATCATGGCTTTCACCAGTGGGTACTACAGCAGTTTAACTATGATGTATGGACCAAAGTAAGCAATGGCCATCTTTATTACAGGCTTTTCAGTAGGCAGTGAAATTATCAAAATATCATTTTCAGTGAAATTATCAAAATATTATTTCACTGTAACCAAACTGTATTTGAATGTGGATAAAGAATTAATGGAAATTTAGTCAGTAAAAAGTACATGACTATGGGATGCACATAAATATTTGCCCACCTCATGTTAAAATTTGAGAAAATGTACAGAAATATATTTTAACATGATAACAGTGATAACGTCATAAAGGGGAGCATTGATGTTACAGAGTAAAAGTCAGTAAAATGACTTAAAAAACCCACTTAAGTTGCATGAAATAAATGTCCTAGGCAGAGTGGTTATGGTTGCCTCTTGCCTTCCAATGCTGTAGGTTCCAGCTGTGCAAGCCATTTCGTGTTCTTTCATGCCAGAAAGCTGTTGAGGTGAAATGATGCACAGAAAGGCATCTGAAGTGTTCCTCCACCCAAAAAGCTAGAAAGTTGCCATATGACCTATACTGTGTTGGTGTGATGTAAAACCCAAACCCATATATATATATATACTTACATGCATAGCTCTATTACTTATTGATTTCATTACACATATTTATATTCTTTAAGTGTTACCAATCATAAATACAAAATTGCCATCTTGATATATTGACACCATCATATGTTCCTGTATTTACAGAGAAGTGGAACCAGCCATGATGGGTAAAGCCGGTATGATGATGGCGTTCTTCCTCGTACTTGGAATCACTTCCGGTGTAAACTTGTCATTGGTGTTACAGAGACTAGTAACCACTCAACCAGATCTCTGATAAAAATATCTCGCACATTTATTTTTTTTTTTTTTGGACTTGTCTTCTTTTTTTTAGATGAATTGTAAATTATTGAAACGTTGTATAGAGCTTTGTTAAGCTGTTGGATCTACAAAGCTAGATACTAAGTCATTACAATAAACTGAAAAATACAATAATTGAGGATTTTGAAGATATCTGTATTGCATTTATACTGATTGATCAAGAAATACTTTGTGATATTCCTATCTGAAAAATTAGGGAAGTTAAATTTATTGTTTTGCTCATGTTGATTACCGGTAGTCTTTATTTTGATTAGTCAATCTCATTTACAACAAGAAGAGAGCACCTGTTTTGGTTATTACCTGTTATAAGAACAAAATATTTTATTTTTTTCATGAAAGATTATTTTAAATTGCTATGTTTAAACTCCCCTCCTTCCTTAAACAAAGGCTGTCATGGGGAAGATTATTTTAGTTGATACTTAGTATACGTAGCTGTTAACATGATAGTTAAGATTGTTAAGAAAATGTAATTTGTTATTAGTATAGTTAAGAACATGTAATTTAATTTACATATGTATGTGTAACATTGACACAAATTATACTTAGATCTGACCTTTCATAACATTTCACAGACAATTATACAAAGTTGAATATCAATTACTGTCATTTTCATAAGTGATATACGTAAACTTTAACATCGCCTGTTGATTTAATTTTTATTGGGGGGGGGGGGGGGGGCACCATTGTGGTCCTTGGATACCAATGTGGTCAAAGAAAATGATTTTAAAGGGCAGCTGATAGTGGTTATTGGATTTTGATAATAGGATATTTTGTCAATGACCATTAGAACTGATTTTGTAACAGAAATATCAATTAACAAGAAAAACGAAGTCAATAGTTGACAGTATCGTGTTCATAGCATTTTTTTTTAATTCAGCATAAGGAAGATGATTTGGTACTTACAAGGTTGCTTATTTTGTTGGCATTGTCATGAACCATCACAAATGTGTTCTCATATATATATATACATTTATATTGAAATGTTCAGATATCATAAGATGGCATTACTAAGTTCTAAAATATGTGTTATTTCTAATTAAACTTGCCAAAGTGATTTTTTATAATCTGTGTTCTCAAAATCATTTTTGATTTCTGATTATTATGGATGATGCTAGAATATGTAAATGGAGCAAAAGAACATACTGTATTCCAAATTTCTTGACCTGTTACTTAACCTTTTACTAGCCTATATTTTACTTTTCATTTCTCTCTTAAACTGCTAAATTTGTGCTTTGGACTAGTGTATTTGATAATTCAGGGATTTCAATATCAAAGTCCAAAAATAAAACATACTACCAACAGTATAGAGCCAGGTCGGACCTCACAGATAAGTAGGTAGGCCAGGCTCTAGACTAGTGGGAAAGACTAAGCGGTTTTGGCACTGGCAGGTTATGGGTTAAATGCCTCAGACTTGTGAACAAGGATACTCTGTGAATAAAATAAGTAACAATTTTAGACTATGTTATCTCATAAATTATGTTGTCTTGTTTTTTCCGGTTTTCTTTCTTTTTGAATTAGAAAAAGGGATTCCTTGTAAATACATGTATTATTGAGTGAGAATTGTACTTTAATCTTACTGAAGTGTTTTTGTTGTTGATTTGCTATTTTTATCCTTTTTGTGTTGATTTAAGAATCATGTTTTCAGGATGACTGTTACTAGTTGTTAATGACCAATGCAATGTTAGTGTGTAGTTAATGAACAAAAACTTGAAAGTTCGAAGCAAAAGAGTTGTAAACTATTAAACATCAGGATAACATTTTACAACAGTGTGGCATTTAACCATAGTTGTTCTGTTTTGTTATGTCTTTTTTGTTTGTTTTGGTTTTTATTTTGTTCCTAGCTTTGTTGTTTTTGTTTTGATTTAAGCTTTAGCTGACGTACATGTTCTAGTATTATGAATGAATATATAGAAAACAGGAAATGCCTCTATAATAATAATAACAGTAGTAAAAGACTGTCCCACTAATTTATCTGTTGAACGCTAACAATACATTCTGAAGGACATTTATAGAATTTTTTGTGAGTCACTTAGGTTATTGGACTATGGAATTGAAAACAATTTTGGCAAAGTCTAAAGTTATATTTTGAATTTGACTTGTACACCCACTGGGCATAATGTCACATTAAAATTCTGTTTACATGGCACCCTCAATAACTTTACAGCTTTTTCACCTTTGCTGGGCTACATGATTGTCATCAATCTCCAAGGGTGCTCATATTATGATCTACATAACTAAGTTGCCCTCTTGTTACCAATTTACACCTAGATGAAGTAAAGCTATGTAAAGTAAATTTCTTACTCTAATTAATTTTGTGTCCTTAAAAAAAGTAAGCCAGAATTCATCTATTCTATAACAGGAACACACCTCTCAAGTACATGACACTTAGTGATGGTAATTGTACTATATTACTTGATTAATAGTGTCGATGGGAGGCCAACCCAACCCAACCCCCTAAAAAACTCTTGGATGTTGGGTGCAATGTGGTGATAAGGGATAGTTTACCATGACACATCAGGGGAGGTTAAAATGGCATAGGTAATAATAACACAGGGGAGGTAAAAAGAATAGCATCAGGGGTGTGACAATTCTCATGATGCATTGAAATTACAGTGACAAATAAATCAGTGAAGACAAATTGCATTATAGGTATGACCGCTGCATGGGTGTAATACTGTTATTCAACATTCATATACACACCAAGGGAGGCTACTTGGATGGCGTAAACAATCCTAAAAGTGCTTAATTACTCTTTAATACAGAAGGTCATGTTTTATATAAAAAAATTTACAACTATTATTTATGTTGCAAAGGAGTGCTGTTCCTTAACATATTTTAAGAAGATTTTATTTATATTCTGATGACATGTGCTATATTTAATTTATCCTCAAACAAAAATCATCGTAATTATTTTTTACCAGCTATTTATATATTTAAGTGAATTTTGAGGAATTTAATTTTGTATTTACATATTTGACCATGACTTCAAAGTGATATAAATAGGTTTAGTTTGTTTATTTTCTTTAATTTTTGTATGAACTCTGTTATTATGCCTAAAATGTGTTTTTGAGTAAATTTTAACATAGAATGGTGAAGTGATATCAAGACAAAAAATGCGATGAAAAATCAAGTTTCAATCAAAACACATATTTTTATACTGGTGTGACTCTATTTAAGTAATTTAATTCAATGCAGAGTTTGATTAAAGTAATGAGCATGTTCTTTTCCTGTTTTGTCTAAAAATTAAGTTTATGTACAAAGTTGAAAAGTTGGAATAAGCTCGAGGAATATTGATTCACTTCCATTATGCATTATTTCATGCCCTCCAGAGGAGGGTTTCTTCCTTCAACACAGACTTTGAGCTACCTAATTTTTCTTTATATGTATAAATATGTATGTTTCACTAGTCACCATCACAGAACTCTTTGAAGATTGTTGCTAAAATCATGTTTCCTGTTTCGGCACCATATGACATAAGTCGTGTTCACATGCCGTAAACACAGAACTATATAATTATACATGTGCTACAAATTTTTGTAATCAGTATTTTAGAGAGAATTTTGTGAGATCTTGGTACAAGTACTAGGACAGAATATATATACGTTTAACATTGACACATGTTTTTACATGACTAGTCCACATAATCATCAACATCATCATTTATGTACAAATTTGGAGGGTTAACAACAAAACTGCAGTAACTTCTATAAATATAGACGGACTTACAACAGTTTTGTGAACAGCCCTCAAAATGTGTTTGGCTCAGAGGGATTCATTTTAAATTTATTTGTTGTTTTAATTCCTTACACTGTTAGTAACAGGCATTTATTTATGAGTTTTATTTGTAATTTATTTATGATTTATATCACCATGTAAGCTGGTGATATACAAATGTTACCCGTTTATGAACAACACATGTAATCTGGTTATATATACAACACGTGTTGTCTATTCATGTTCAACATTATATTGTTTTCTGGTTGTGTTAAACATAAGTTACCTGACATGGTTATTTGCAACACGTGTTACATGACTGTGTACCATGGTTATATACAACATGTGTTACACAGTTATTTATATAACAACACATGTTATATGGCTGTGTACAACACATTCCTTGGTTATATACAACACATGTTATCAAATTCTGAACAACACATGTAATCTGGTTATGCACAACACATGTTATCCAGTTATGTACACATCAGAAAGATTATACCTTACAAAAATGGACCAATGAATCTGCAAAAATTTCAGGGCTGATTTTTTCAATTTTACTGAAAATACAAATTCATTGTATATATATCATCTTTAGTTTATTGTATAAAAAAAGATAGATATAAAAAAAAAAAATTTATGTTGCATTTTTAACTTGATTGATTTGTTGTATGATTTTCTTAATGTACTTTTAGTCAGGTTAAATTTAACATATATTCTTCAAACCATATGCTGAAATGCTCATTTAGATTTTTTGTGATCAATATTTTAGTGATGTGTCTACTGTAAAATAAGTTGGGGCTTAGTAAGAGTTCATACAAATATATAACTCGTAGATCACTTGTGTCATTGGTGTTAGAGAAACATTATACTAGCAGTGATAATAAATAAACAAAGACTCATACCACTAATATAGTCAGCCCAGCATGCACGTGCATGTGGTATGACCCAATTTTAAACGGCTCTTTGACTGTACAATTTTATTATTTTGAATGTTGGCATTGCTCTATTAACTTATGAATTGTTTATAAGTTACAGCTGGAGAAGTCAACTGCATAACTTCAGCAGGGTATGGCTAAAGGTAAATTACAATAAACTTGCAGTGTCTGTAGAATATGAACTTGTAAATCAAATATGTAATATACATCGAGTGGCAGCATGGCTGAGTGGTTAACGTGCCGGTAGACTTTTAATCTAAGGATGGCTATCTGAAGATGGGTGGGTTCAAACCCTGGGAGGGGGGAAGCTGTTGTTGAGCAAGAAACCTTACACTCTTTGCTTAGTACTGGTTGGCTCCATGAGCAGATTCGAACATGTGTATAAGCTTATAAATTTCTTACATAATCTAAAATAAATTCTATATAAACCAAATCAAATATGCTTATATCTAACCCTCTTTATGTTGATTAATGCGGACTAGTCTTGAACTTAAAGTTAAATACTGTTGTAAATTAATGCTTTATTAATTAAGCAAACAAGAAAGGTAAATCCATGAACCAAGCTGCTTTCTTTTTTCAATGTTTCAGTTTTCAATTTTTTGGTAAAAAAAATGAAAAAATAATGTTTTTCAGATCTGAATTATTTCTTTTGTGTGTATTTCTTATAAAATGAACTTCTATTGGAAATGATTTTATTTGCGTTTATGTGGATTTTACAAGTTATTATTAAATATATTCCCTTATTAAGTATTTACTATCTATGTCCTACTATGTTTAATTTTATTGAATTTTATTTTTAAAGATAAATTTAAATGACCCATTTATGCTACAAGTATTTCATTGTTTGAATACTATATAAAGTATTGTTTTTCAAATAACTTATACTACATGTTTTTGAGAGATTTGTTTTTTAAATATATGACTTTGGGGGAAAAAATGTTGAAAAATTATTTTTAAAAATGCAAACAATCCATGTATGAGATTCATATTAATCAATTTGTATTTTTCATTTCTGTTTGGGGTTTTATTGTGTATGTGGATTTTTTTTAATCATTTGCTTTTTAAGTTGTTTAACAATGTTTTACTTTGATCTGATAAGTTATTCCAGGTGATAATGTGAAGAATTCCAGGTGTGTATGTGAATTATCATTTCATATGAATATGGTACATTT